TTGCTAAAAGTAAGCTACGGATTACGAAATAAATCAATGGTCCCACGAGCCCATGGACAGCGGGCGGGGGTGGGAGGAGGAAATTAATTTTGTGAACAGTGAAAGTTTTATGTGAAAAACGTTATTTGGAACAAAAAAAGTGCAAAGCCATTCACCTTGCAGACACCACGAGCTCAATGAACTGGAATTAAGGGACGAGTTTCCTGACCTCAATGCTTCTGTACGTTCATTTCTAATACAAAAGTGATACTCAAGAAAAATTGTGAATACGATCCCCCTTCTGATGCCTTCTTGGAGGCTACTTCACAACAATTGCCAGGTTCAGAATAACCGGTCAGAAATGCGAGCGAATTGGGGCCAACGTTCCATTAACTTCCTCAAACAACCCTCTTCGGGTATTGAGACTATGTGCACCGGTCGGCCGCAATCCTACATACTGGAACCAAAAATCACAAAGATTTGGATTTATGAAGGTCCTACTGGGCCCTACGCGAAGCGCCGATTCCGGTAGAAGGGCCTGGAAAGGGGTAAAGATGTATTGAACCCGTTAATAGTAGGGTCCCAAAAGAAAGTCAGGTTTGTAGTAGTAATAACTCCACTATCCCGATGCAGTTCAACGCGAAACGATCGAAAAAGTACCTTAAAGTTCCCTGCTGGGCTTCCCGGATCAGGTGTGGAACATGTCAAAGTAATCGTTCCACCAACAATCACATTCAGCCTTGGCGGCGATATATCTGCATGCCCAGGTGGTCGTTGAACCTGCAATTATTCAAACATTCATTCACAATGTCGTCCACATTGAAGAATCTCTTGAAACGGAATTATTTATTTTTTACATCAATTATCGTTGTAGCCGATCCGGTACGTGTCTGCGAGCCTGTTTCACCATATATGCTCAGATAATTTGTCGCCGTACATGTATAATTGCCGGTCTGTTCTCTGAAGAAGCATAATTGTCAGAAAGCCCCCATCGGTTTTCATCTGCTTTTATTTTTCATATCGTCGAAGATTTTAAAGTGCACACCAAGGTCTTCAACCTGTTCCTGAACAAATCCCTTCGGAAAACCCGACTTATAGATGACCTCGAATGGACCCCTGCTGGTTAAAGGAGTTTCTCGTCCAAGCTATTCAAACCAGACCAATTATGAAGCCCCATCTTCACGTTCATTCAAGTTATACGGGTGCAGATNTCGCTTCAGTGAAACTCGTACACGATTTACACGTAAATGGGCAGGTCCATCGTGGTAATCCCTAGGAGGGGTCTGGACGTTTTTCGAAGGTCCGTGAAACACTGTGACATACCTGGAGACGCTCTTCAAGACAAGAAGTGGTCCATCGGAGATGAAACCTTGCGGGCCACTCCATTTCACGTCCACTGCCTGAGGATTTGCATCCACGGAACATTCAATTTGTACTCGTTCTCCTTCTCTTGGATTGTAGCGCGACTTAAAAGTCAAGGTCGTTAGCTTAGACTGAACGCACTGGACCTAATGTCCTCTACTTACCTTTGTAATAACAACAGGAGCATACTGGACATTCAAAGTTAGGATCGCACTCCCTTCACCGACACTGTTAGCTGCACGACATTCGAAATCCCCGCTCATATTCCGACTGGCGATCACCGTCCACTTCGAAGCCGCGTACACTTCACCCAAAGCCAAGTGCCTCCTGAAGAAAGAACCCTGAGAAACGGGATCCAACGGGGCTTACCCAAACACCTACCATTCGTAGCTGGGAGGGTATGGATTAGAGTCGGCGTCACAGACGAGATCAATATGATGACCAGCTTCTATGGCAAGATCTTGGTCGGGTGAAACTCGTACACGAGGCTTGAACAGAACCTAAAGAGCACCAGCTTTCTTACAGAACTCATAGCTCGCCTACGCTCAGATACTCACGTTTAACCTTGGTGTTCGTGCTTCCCTGGGTTGTTCAAATTCAATGGCTTTGTTCGTTACTGTACAAACCACATAGGCACCATTGTCCTCGGATCGAACTCGAAAACTGTAAGTGAACTTATGATTAGAAAAAACTTCACGTTTGACGAACAAAAAGAAAGGAAAAGAAGAAAGACGGAAAAGAAAAGCGAAAGGAAAAAATTTTTCAGAAAGAATACGTACTGTAAAATGCTTTCCGAAGTACTGCCTTTGAGCTGAGTATTGACATGTCGCTCATCAGCTGTGCTACCATTTAAAAATGTCCAGCTGAAGTAATGGATTACTTGTAAAGATGAGGAATATCGGTAACAGAGAAGGGCCAACCTTACCTCATCATCGGCGGTGGACTTCCTCCTGTTGATGAGCATTTAAATGTTACACTATCACCCGCAGTTACGGCTTGAGAAGGGGATTCGGTAATGACCGGATCGGATGGCGGTACTGGAAGTTGGAATAGATGAGAGGGCAATTCGGACATTCTGCCCTATTATTACGGGACTTTGAGCCAGTCCTCTTTTTAATTACAAGTCACCATCTGGGCCCAAAAAGCTGTCTGGGCAAAACCTGTAACTACCATGGGCCCTCTACAAGTAAGATCTCTAAGAATGGATATTATTACCATATATCTCGTGATATTACCGACTCTTAACATCTCGTTTTACCATTTCCTACAACTCAAATGCTCTTAGAACAAAATGACATCAGCGACATTGAACTTTCCCTCCGGTCACATTACAGTGCTAAGAGAATGTAGATCTAGTGACAATGGGAAAACAAATGAGTAAACAAGAATTGTAACAGTAACAGTCGTAGTAATCATAGTAAAGGCTTCATGATTAGTCCCAAACCGCGGGGTGCTGCAGTACAAAAAATTATCCCTAGGTATCGGAAGAGGTATTCATACTGAACGACTTCGAATGTTTCTTGCTGTTTCATTTCAGACTATTATTTATTATATATTTTTTGTTTCATTTTATTTTTTGTTTATTTTTTCTTGAATCCACACGATCTACGAAGTCTTTCAGGGAGTGACACCATTCTCGTGGGATCAGTAGGGCGCTCCATTTATCGAGGCCACACCCATTATTAGAGAGAAAAAACGTTGGGATAAGGGTTGAAAAGTGAATTTTTCTGTATTGTAAACATGTAATTTTCAAACAGATGAGTATGAAATATTGTGAGGCTTTTATGCCCATTTTTGAACTCATTCCAAAACCAACTCATTCCAGATGACAATCGTCAGAATCCTGAATTCAAGCGACCATTCTCTACCCCTGCTCTGGCCCTTGTTTATCTGTTATCTTCCTGGGAATCACACTTTTCGATGGTCCTGCACCTGGCCGATCATCATCAGTTAATGGCATTTTAGCTTTTTCAAGTGCGTGGTGATCCCGTTGCCTGGGTAATGGCACTTCATTAAGGACTAAAGCTCCAAATGACCGGTAATTACATAACGGTGGCGTACACAACATCCTTACCCCGTAACAAGACAGGCATATCAAATAATATCCATTAACGAATCCGCCAAACACCTTACCAACCAATTCCTACTGGATTACTCGAATGAACTAGTCAAATTCAACTGTAATTTCGTAGTAACCATATGACGACGATCAAGATATTCTATGGGGATACTGGTGAGTGCGGAAAATGACGGTGTACGATCGTCGTGGTTTTATGTGGCGCAAGATTGGTCCAATTGCTTACCAAAAAACCCCTAGTTCTACGTTATTTCAAGGAGATTGCGATCTGCAAGGTCGCGTCGTTGGCCATCGCCTTGGCGAACATCCGATACAGCCCGATAACATGTATCGCACCTGATGAGATCGCATACACATACATTCATACACAACGACATCTGATGGTCACGCCAAAGATGTTGCCATAGCGGGACAATACCTCTTGATCTGATAAACCATCTATTTACTTATCATCCTTCACGAGTAATTCCTTTTGACACCTTATCATCGATATAGGTATATAGGGTCATCACAGATTGTCAAAGAAATGATATCAAAGGCAGGATCAACGGATCAACCTCTGGGTGTTCTCGCACTTCAGAAGTCTCAGGTTGTGGAATGGGTCTGGGAATGTCCAGATCAGTTAAGGGTCACAAAGCTACATCATATTGAGACTTTCCCACGCGGTCAGTTACTGAGCAGTAAGGGGGCCGGAGCTCGTTACTACAACAAATTTACAGTTACTATACAAATGCTGTAGGGTGTTAGGTACAGCAGAAGTTTGAGACAAAGTTCTTCGCCATTAGCGACAACGAATCGCCAGAAACTCAAAATACCCCGAAAAATTGCCGTAAATTGAAGTATGACTGAGCTTCGAAAAGCTTGAAATTAGACGTGTGAATTGATACAAGTAACAAGTTTACATTCTATCGAGATTTGTCAGTAATGTTTTGTTTTGGTAAGCCTTGAGTTGCAAGTAACTCAGCTACCACAAAAGAGGTCATGTTTTTCTACTAAAGCGTCAGCCTTTTCAATGATTTGACTCGGAGGTGATGGTGATGGTACTTGGTGGCAGATTACGATATAAGGAGATTTAAAGATCGTAAAAGGATTCGGATTACGGTACACTTGACTGTAATGCAAGAATGATCGTAGGAATCCCAAGGAACATCTAACGATACTTACCCAGAGCGATTACTTCGATAGGATCCGCTTGGTACTGCTGTGTCTCTTGACGGTCAAGTACGGTACAGTAGTAGGAGCCGATCACTGAATCCGTATTGACATCTTTGAGCCTTAGGTCATAAACTCCTTTGGAGACATCACCAATCAGCTCGAAATGTGTCGAGTCGTGCAACTGATTGCCAATCGATACATATCTTAAGCATGGGGAATTAGTTTATCACAATATGGGAAATTTGAAGGCTTGTAGTTTTTCAGTATTAGAATGGGAAGTCTTTTCTGGTTAGTAGTTCTAAGCTTATCATTTCCTATTTTCTATAGGACAAAGATTTACAAATGTTGTAAGAATACTAAGGCGGGTACTGTAATAAAGGGTCCAAGTTGATCGCCGCTGAACACAATGCAATTTGAAAGGAAAAGGGGTTACGTCACGTTGAATTGCAATGAACTACAAGGGCGTTCTAGCGCCAGGAAGAACACAAAAAAGTCTGACTCGGCCGCCACTTAACTCTACTACTACTTAACTACTTACCTGAGATCTCCCTTATTGTATCGTTGCCATTGTACTTGGTAACGAGTTGGATCAGAGTATTCACTCCGCACTGAGCATTTCAGCGTTGGCCCAGCCGATCGTGGCTTTACATAGTACGGTCCAGTGCCAGGAGTGTTAGCAAATACTTCACTGTTTTCTACACACACTGGAAAGAACAACATGTTCTTTGATTGCTCTTTTAAACAGTAATAAATAGTAACTACTGTCAAGTTTTTATGTACTGGAACAATGACATTTTCCCGGGGTAGTTTTGAGGTGTTCCTTGATCGTTACATCGCCTTATTACCCAAGAACAATCGTAAATAACTCAAGAGCGAAACAGTAAAAGGGATTACCAGGAGCAAAGTTAAGTTGTAAAAGGCACATCAAAGGAAGTAATGTCCCTAATGAATCTTGTTACTAGCCCCAGTTACCGCAGGCCATGGTCAGTTGGGTAAATGGTTGTAATTACTCCGAAATACACTTTGTGAAGGACGACACATGCAGGTCGTCGTAGTCTTTACTACTTTTGTGCAATAATTACTACAACTTCCGCCATTAATGGGGACTACTCAGCAGTGCATACCAAATGAGCGGAAATGTTTCGGTAAGTGGGGACATTTTTTTTGCCTTCTTTACGCAATCCCAAAGAGGTTTCTTTCATTAGTAGGAAACTCGCCAACGTGACTAGCAAACAACCTCAAATGGGGCTAGGTATCCATTTACTGAGGTAATCAAGTTCCACCACGACTGCTAGGAAGGGGGGTTCACTGAACATGCACTTAGTAAATGATTTGAGCTAGTTTAGAGACTAATCGCTACAAGGGTCCTTCATTTTTCATTCGGCGACGACTTTCTTCTTGAAAACCGGACAATTTCAAGGTGGGTGCAGTGAAACGGAACACACTAGCCGTATGTAGCAAGGCTAAATTAGAGCCCCTAATAGGAGGGCCCAAAATCAATACCGTACATAATGGGCTTTTACAGGGTACACCGGTCATTACCTGTGAGCCTATACGAGTTATTCGAGACCTCCCTGTTAACATATTCCAGATGCCCATTTCCCGGATATTCTGTTATGTTGTGGGGAAGAGCTCAGAGTGAGGAAGGGCCCAACGAACGACTATAAGACCGTGACGATCGGGTCAGCAAATATGTGTGACCGGTCCCTGGTCAAACACACAGTTGTTATTCGCGGTTTTCTCCATCCACAATGCACTTCACACGAGATTTTGACCGCGACCATCGAGATTTTCAATAAACAAAAGCGGTAAATAAAATTATACCCACATATAATCTGCACAAATGATACAAATAATAAAGCCACGAGTGGCCCCATATTCAGGGACGAACGAACGGTCCACCGCGTGCTCCTAAAAACGAACACCTGTGGTGGTGGTAAGATGGNCGAGCATTATCATAGTTAGCAAAGTTGGTAATTGATGATAATGTATGATAATGAGTGAGGAATTCGAGGAACTACGAATGCATAGAAGCTGCAAGTAGAACAGCGAAAACTGAAAAACATAAACACTAGCCACACAGGAAATCAAGTTTGTGTTCGTGGTAAGTGCAACGAGTAATCGATTGATACGGAAACGATATCAACCAATCAATCAATCAGATATCGATAGCTATTACATAAAAATACTGCAAATAAGGTAAGCCTCGTAGGATTTGGGATAGTCCCTTTCAAAAGGGAAGGTTCAATTCACAAAAAAGGGAATCGTAAACGAAATAGAACGGCGCGATGACGACGGCGACATTCAACCGGAGTTTGACGCTTCAACCTCACACCTCAAGAGACTTGTGTAAGGGAACGTGAGCGCTCGTCCGTGTCGCAAAGGGTCAGCACATCGCGCTGGTTCCACGCGCGGTAATTATCTGCCAACCATACGACCTCCCCCCTCGCTACACTCCCGGTCTCGCTCACTTTCCGACGACCGATCGCTGAGACGAATTACGACAACCAGGTGCTATACGTGTCCTCAGCCGGATGAGACCATGTCGATCTGGGCGGTCTGATACCATAAGTAGGTTCTTATACAAGTATGTTACCATCTGGACCATGAAAACACCGTGGAGGACTCATTGGAGTTCAGCATAGCAGGTGTGGGGAGAGCGGGGGGGGGGGGGGGGGGGGGANGGGGGGGGGGGGGGGGGGGGGGGGGGGGGGGGGGGAGTGAGCACTGAAAGCTTGGCAGAAGTTTCACCTAGCATGGGTCATGGGTATGGACTGGAACAGTAAAAAACGATGGGAAGAGAAAAAGAAGATGCCAGAAGTATAGTTATTCAGCTAGAAATAACATTATTACTCATGAAATCGAAATGGGTCAAGAGTTGCTCCCGAGTGACCTAACCTAGAAAGCCATGTCTCAGATGATTAGCTCGTGGTCAAATCTTCAGTGACTAAGTTGACTGATTCGAAAATCGCTGGACTCCAGCCTGTCTTTATACTAGCCACTCACTTCAACTCCTTAACTGCTACTAATCTGACTTACTAATTACCAATTACTGGGGAAAACAAAAGTGCATCTCACTTAGCCGAAACAAGCGGGGTAGGAACTGAGTTTGGCGCAAAAAAAGCGAGCTAGATATGCAATGGTGGCTTAGCACAATATCAAGGACTAGCTAGGAAAAGAAAGAAGCGTTAACGGGGGGACGGCGATAACAATGTGGTTGTAGGGAGATCGATGTAATTGAGCGAAAAGAAGTGATGGCAAACGATCGTGATCTCCGTGCCACACCACTTGCCGTTGAAGCTAATCAGAAAACGAGGAACAGATGAACGAACGGCTAAGAATCACTCAATACCGTGATATATCATTCCTATTCTTGGGAGAGATGCCAAAAGACGTCTTTGATAAGATATAAGGTATACGATTGGTTAATGTTTACTGCTTTAAGCCAATCACTCGAGAAAGTTCGAGTTTGGACAGTAACTTACTGTTCTAGAAATGAATAAACTCTTAGGGTAACGTCTTTATAAACGCTTGAAAAGGGATTTTCAAATGCTCGAATTCAGATGGAAGGGTTAAAGGTGTGGTGGCCATTGGCTCCATGTTTTCTCCTTATCTATTAACTTTTGGGAAAAGAAGCCGATATTAAGCAGAAAACCCGACAACTCTCAGCCTATGGTATTCAGTGGGATTCACTTTTATGCAAAAATATCATCGAATACATCATAGTATCAAGAAAGATCGAGGTTATACCCTCGAAGCATCTAACGATTACCAAAGACCATAGATGAAGATAGAAGCAAATCCGAAAAAAAATCTTATAAAATTGAAATTGTTGTTTTAAAAGTGGCATCACTAATTTTTATTTGTACATGAATTACCTGTGCCCAGAAAAGTGCTACCTACAGTATAATAAATTACAACAAATGCATATTGCACATTCCAAACAAGTTATTCCATATGAATACCAGTAACCGTGTCATTGTCATGATTTGTAGACACCTTGAAATGCATCGAAAACGAGAAATTCAAAGAGCATAGTTCAGTTTTTCAAAAATTTCAATTTCAAGAAATCGATAAGCCAGAGAGCCCATCAATAACCTAGAAAGCCAATCAATAGGCCTATGCAATAAATATGTAAGTAATTTTGAGAGATGTTTAGTTAAGTAATAGAAGGCTTGCTCCCCAACTTTTCGGGGTCCGCACTAAGCAGTTCCACGGAGATCCTCATTCACCCCCGTCAGTATGCCAGCAAGCTAGAGTACCACGGGTAAAATTTTACCAACTTGTAAGTACCTTATGGAGAGACCCATAAAATGTGGTGTAATAAAAGAAGAATGAGCGAATTACTGAACTTTTACTACTTAAATTGAATTACTGGCTTCATGTTAGGTGTTTTTAGGCCCATTAACAGATGAGAGAAAGGTTCAAGGTTATGGGGTCAGCCGTGAGACGATCGGTTGAACTATGGTGGCAGGTGTTTTTGTTAAAATGTAAGACTTCAAATGTAATAAAAATAATGGAAATACATAGAGTGTGTATTGATCATGTCAAATGGACTTCAGAAAGGATGGCTGGCGATAATGAAACGATGATGATCGAGAGATGAGACGGTGGTGATCAGTTACAGATTCGGGAACATCAGTGTGCGTACGTACGTATGTCACAAACAAACATCGGTGATCGTCGGTGGTGGAGATGAACGAACGAGATAAATTTCGGAGATGGCGACTAATAGATCAAAATCTACAACATCGATGTCCAGATACAAGTAGAGATTTGGATTTCGAGGACAAGAAAGGGAATCAGTGAAATCGTCCGAGATCATCCGGCTCCGGATGAGATTTCCTTCACCCTGGCTGCAGACGTCTAAGACGACGCACTGCTGAAGCACTCAAACAATGGTGGGGCAGATACGCGCTCCCCAACACAACAGAACCAGTTCGGCTCACCATTTATACGTCAGCATTCATTCAGGTGAACTGTTAAAGTAGATTTCATATAAAGTAGTTATACAAGAAAAATTCCCTGTCATCAATGCTGCCCTATGAGGCAGCCGGGGTTGATAGGAATTGTGAGCACGATGGAATAGAATGGGGGAACGGATTCAGCAGCATTGGCCCAAAAGAATAGCCAGGAAAGCCAGGAACGCTGCCCGGTATCGTTTACACCTAACCAAAAAAAGGACAAACACTATCGCCGCGCTCAAAATAACTCCCGGCTACGTAGTGCAACCGATAAGCAATAGCAGCTTGTTTCGATTCCGAACCTGACCCGAGCTTGGGTGAGACCAAAGGTCCGCTTTGGCCATTACGGTAATGAATTTGATCTAGACGCGTAAAAAGTAATCGATAAAACAGAGGAAACCGTACGATTTCACCATGGTCGATAGTAATTTAGTCCAGAGGAATGAGGAAGACTACGGAATGGGCGGTGGCGGCGATTTTATTCGTCAGAGGGTGGGTGAGCGCAAGGTGAGCAATACATTGGACGACTGCTGGCTGCACCGTTGAACGTCGGCGACACCGACCGACCGTTTCACACCGCCATCGTTTTCTCATATCTACCGTCGAATCAACACGTAATCGTCGTTAGCGTCGTGCGCAGCAACACAGCGAGTGTCAGTGACAAGACCGTTCAAGCACGCGGGCAGTGGCAAAACATGGCCATGGAACGAGAAATTCCAAGAATGACGCCCTCAACATCCGGGATTGCACTGAGAAAGAACAGCCTACACCTACCACCCTGAAAGCCTGGGCGCTGTCCTATTCAGCCGGTGGGAAAATGGGTCCCTGTTGACGTTAAGGCTTCACTGTTTATCTTCTCTTTATAGGTACCCTCCTGATGTTTCCAGAATCAATGCCTATTCAGCT